GCGCCCGAACCCCGTGCGCCAACCGGGCGCTAGGAACCACGTTCAGCCCGCGAGCTCCTCCGACCCTGCACCCCCGGGCTGGCTGGGAACCGCTGCTGCGGCCCCTTTACCGAGCGGGAAACTGAGGTTCTCTCGCGCGTGGGGGTTTGGGGGCTTCTGGGGGCCTCTCCCCCAAAAGTGCACTTGAGGTATGAGCCTCGTCGTTCCGAATGTGTGCCATTTCGGTCCCTCCCTGCTGGCGGGTCCCTGGGGCCCACATGAAAACGCGGGGCTTGATGGCCTTGGGCACTGGGGAGCCACAGCAGAATTCGGAGCGGCAGAGAAGCCCAGCATCTGTGATGCTGGGGCTGGTGGGGAGGGCGGTGAGGCCTGGGATAGGGACCCAGGAGGCAGGACCGGGGCTTGGGGACCCATGGGCTGGGGTCCGAGGAAGCTTCAGCGAAGGGAAGGGATGGGCTGTGTGGAGCAACAGGTGGACCCTGGCTGGGGTTTGCACGGACAGCCAGGTGGGGACGTCCTTGAAATGACGACCTCAGAGAGCGTCAGAAACCTCAGAGACCTCAGAGAACAGCTGGGTGGGAAGACAGTAGGGGGCTTGGAACCCCCCGGAATCGTGGCTCCAAGCACTGCCCCAGACTCAGTTTCACCCTTTTCCTGGGGAGGTCTCCCCTCTCCCTTCCCCCCGGCCTGGGGCACAAGAATGGGCCTTATCCCCATTGTACAGGCGAGACATTGAGACCCAGGGATGTGAAGTCGCTCAGTCAGCCCAGGAAGGGGCCGCGCTGGGTTTGAATCCCGGCAGCCGCCCCTGGATGCCTCGGTATTAATCCCCAAATGTTACATAACACCAGGAATGGGGAGGGGTTACCAGGTTCCGTGGGGCTGGAATTTTCCAGGAACCAGATTTCAGAATCTGGCCCGGCCACACCACTAGGGACAGAAAACACCTTCTGAGTTGTCACATGTTCACCTGGTATCGTGAATGGGGTCCCCGTGCATTGGACGGTGCTGAGCTCAGGCACCTTTGCCGGGGTTCTGGTCCCAGTGCCAGGGCAGAAGATTCCTGGCCAGCCTGGGTCCACCGGGTTGCAGCTGGGGAGCCCAAGTCCCCTGCCGATGAGAACCAGGTGAGGCAGCTGCAAGGTGAGCAGCTCGGGGCCCGAGTGTGTGAGGTGTCACACGACTGTCACCCTGGAATCCTCCAGGGCCCGAGAGTCAGTTGCTTCCTTCCTTTTTTTTCTTTTGAGACAGAGTCTTGCTCTGTCGTCCAGGCTGGAGTGCAGTGGCGTGATCTTGGCTCACGGCAACCTCCACCTCCCAGGTTCAAGCAATTCTCCGGCCTCAGCCTCCTGGGTAGCTGGGACTACAGGTGTATGCCACCACACCCAGCTGATTTTTTTTTTTTTTCTGTTTTTAGTAGAAACGGGGTTTCATCATGTTGGTCAGGCTGGTCTCAAACTCCTGACCTCAAATGACCCATCCCGCCTCGGCCTCCCAAAGTGCTGGGATGACAGGCGTGAGACACCGGGTCTGGCTTCCAGTTCCTTCCTGATAGCAGCTGCCCATCCTGTCATCAGTTCAGGCATTTGTTAAGCACCTACTGCGTATCTGCCTGTGTCAGGCTGTGCGGGTCCAAGGCAGACCCTGCCCTGTCCTCATAAAAGGACCACTGCTTAGGGGACTGCAAGAATGTCCAAGATTTCACCAAGTCAGGGGTCAGGGAGAGCTGGGAAGGTGGAAGGGAGTGAGCCAGGCCCGTTCTGGGCAGTAACTTGTCCCTGAGGCAGGTGCTGTTCTTAGCCCTGTGTTACAGATGAGGAAACTGAGGCTCCAAACGGCCGGTGCCAGCCCAGGCTCACCCGGACTGCATGTGGCTGAGCCTGGAGTCTAGGTGGGAGTGGATCCAGAGCTCCTGGTCCCCCCACAGTAGGTCTGTCCCTCTTTCAGGCTGCCAGCCCCAGCGGTCCCAGGGAGCAGTGCCAGGCAGCGCCCTCGTGCTGGGGCGGGCGTCTGAGCTTCCCAGGGGGAAAGAAATCAGAGTTCCTGGCCCAGAGCCTCGCAGCCTGCCTGTCAGCTGATGCTCTTTGCACAGAGACCGGCTCGCCCTCCCTCTCCCCTGGCCGCCCACGGCTTTTCCTGGCTGAGACTCCACTTTGGAGCTGGGAAAGGCCTCCTAGTCTCAGCCTGTGCCCTTCTGAGCAGGGACTCTGTCCCCCAGCCTATGTGAGCCCCACTAACCAGCTGTCCCCATCCCCCGCCCTGCCCCAGGCTCCCTGCTCACCCCAGCCTGGCTGCAGGGGAGTTTTGGGGGGCTAAGGATGAATGCCCACAAACACACCCCTCGGCTCTCCCTGAAGGCCTCTCACGCAGATTAGGGGATGGGGAGGGACTGCTGTTGAGTACATGTCTCCTTTCGAGGATGAAATGTTTTACATTTAGATAGAGGGGTGCTTGTTCAACACTGGGAGGCAGGAAATGCCGCTGAATTGTGCACTTTTTAAAAGGGTAAATGTTATGTTATGTGAATTTCACCTCAAAGGTTTAAAAAAAAAAAAAAAAAAAAAATTGGCCGGGCGCGGTGGCTCAAGCCTGTAATCCCAGCACTTTGGAAGGCCGAGACGGGCAGATCACGAGGTCAGGAGATCGAGACCATCCTGACTAACACGGTGAAACCCCATCTCTACTAAAAATACAAAAAATTAGCCAGGCATGGCGGCAGGTGCCTGTAGTCCCAGGTACTCTGGAGGCTGAGGCAGGAGAATGGCTTGAACCCAGGAGGCAGAGCTTGCAGTGAGCTGAGATCACACCACTGCACTCCAGCCTGGGCGACAGAGCGAGACTCCCTCTCAGAAAAAAAAAAAAAAGAAAAAGAAAAGAAAAAACGGTAAATAAAGAGGACCAGGCGCAGTGACTCATGCCTGTATGCCAACACTTTGAGAGGCAAAGGTAGGAGGTTTGCTTGAGCCCAGCAGTTGGAAACCAGCCTGGAAAACAAAGCAAGACCCTGTCTCTACAAAAAATTTTCTAAATTAGCCGGACATAGTGGTGCATGCCTGTAGTCCCAGCTACTCGGAAGGCTGATGGGGGAGGATCGCTTGAGCCTCGGAATCCGAGGCTGCCGTGAGCCATGATCACAAAACTGCACTCCAGCCTGGACGACAAAGTGAGACCCTATCTCAAAAAAAAAAGGCCGGGCACGGTGGCTCACACCTGTAATCACAGCACTTTGGGAGGTCGAAGCGGGTGGATCACCTGAGGTCAGGAGTTCGAGACCAGCCTGGCCAACATGGTGAAAACCCGTCTCTATTAAAAATACAAAAATTGTCCAGATATGGTGGCGGGCGCCTGTAATCCCAGCTACTGGGGAGGCTGAGGCAGGAGAATCACTTGAACCCAGGAGGCAGAGGTTGCAGTGAGCCGAGATCGCGCCATTGCACTCCAACCCGGGTGATAAGAGCAAAAAACTCCATCTCGAAAAAAACAAGGAAGCAGTGTTGGAGGCCAGCCTAGACAGGAGGTCAGGGAGGGCGTTTCTGAGAAGGGCCCGCCCGAGGCAGTGATGTTCCCATTTGCAAGTCTGGAAACCAGGCACAGGTCACTTGACTTCCAAAAGGGATGGGGGCCTCCAGTTAGACAATCAGGGAAGGGAAACCGGGACATTCGACTTCATTTCTCGGAATCCATACTCGAGAATGAGATGAGCTTGATAACAAATGAAAAACGTAGATTTGGCCGGGCGCGGTGGCTCACGCCTGTAATCCCAGCACTTTGGGAGGCCGGGATGGGCGGATCACGAGGTCAGGAGATCGAGACCATCCTGGCTAACACGGTGAAACCCCGTCTCTACTAAAGATACAAAAAAATTAGCCAGGCGTGGTGGCGGGCGTCTGTAGTCCCAGCTACTCGAGAGGTTGAGGCAGGAGAATGGCGTGAACCCGGGAGGCAGAG